ACGTATGACCTTACTGTCGCGACTTTCGTATTTCGATTTCTCGGCGCCACAGACACAATTAAAAAAAACGCTATCGTTTTCTTTATAAATCCGGTTTTAGGGTACGAAATACACCGCTAGCTTTGACAATAACAAGGCTTGTTTCTCACCTCTAAAATACTTAATAATTCACTTTAATACATACATACATTTTCAACACAAAGAGACGGGACAAATGTTTCAATCAAGGTGACTAATTTTCTGAGTAACAGATTGTTTACTGCAGTGTATATCGCGTATGTGGGCGAAGGTTTTTGCGCATTTGATGCAACTGAACGATTTTTTCCAAGCTAAATTAAAAAAGTGATCGACAAAGAAAGTGCGTTGAACCCTTCGGTTCATATCCAAGCTTCAAGTAAAAGGTACAAAAAAAAACAAAATTCTCATTCCGATTCCGACGCATTTTACAATTTATAGTACCTAAAGATATAACTAACTGTCAATAGACAAAATTAAAGCAATCCCGGTAATCGTTATACACTGCAATATACGCAGATTCTAGAAAAGGCTACCAAATCCGTAAAGTCATGTAAGCAAGATACACGCAAACATAATTTCTTTTTTCTCGTTATATAAACGTTGCCAATGTCCACACGGTGACATCATGCTCGTGGGTGATTCGAACAAAAACCGATAGCAACCTTGCGTCATGTGAGATCAAAGTGGTAAAGTGGAAGATATATTAGCGAATATACAAAATACAACGGGGCACGTGCGATGAAATGTGACAATAAACACCTGCATTTTTCAATATCAATTTAATACTATTGACGGCAGTATATCTCTTATCTATTGGACAAGTCCGTCTGTCTGTGGTGCTGTTTCAGCGGCCAAACCGTAAGAGATAGATAAAGAGAATATTTAAGTTATAAGTTAAGAATAGTCTGATAAGACTACAAACCGGATTTGAGTAACGTAGCACTTCCGGTTTTCGAGAAATCAGGTTTTGGTGAACATTTGGTTCACTGGTTTGCTAGTTCTTAAATAATGAACACATGTTGCTTCTGAAAATAATTTAAGTTTACTATTAACCGCATCACGGACAGTGTTCTGCTGACGTAACCGTACCGCTGTCAATGACCGCTAAAAGCTTCTACATAACTCAAAAGCGTCTTACGTGCAGCAATTTAATAAGAGACTGATAATAATAATATAAAGTACAGTTATTCTTTACTAGCAAACCAGTGAACCAAATGTTCACCAAAACCTGATTAAAAAAAAATGTATTTAATTAATTGAGAACTTCGGAGATTTTGTGTGGTTTCGTTTGAAATTCGTGATTTCTCGAACACCGGAAGTGCTACGTTACTCAAATCCGGTTTGTAGTCTTATCAGACTATTCCTAACTTATAACTTAAATACTCTCTTTATCTATCTCTTACGGTTTGGCCGCTGAAACAGCACCACAGACAGACGGACGGACGGACTTGTCTAATAGATAAAAGATTCCAACAACGCAGGTTAAGTCAAAGGATTTACATATCGACTAATTCTTGACTTGGTTAAAATGGATGATGATACTATCTATCACAAGACACAAAAATACATCCTACTTAAACAAAATGTTATAATTTAATTTAAAACCTGACCTAGATAAGGAAAAAAGACATCTACCTAAATTTGGTATGGTAAACGTCACTATTTTATGATTACGAAAAATACTAAAGCCTACTCAACAAACAAACCATCTATGTATTCAACACAAATCGTAGGCGGGAAGTGACACAGCCAGACCCCAGAACGTATATGTACATAAGCTGTAAGCATGATATTTTGCCATCTAAGATAAATATTGGGTTGACATCATCAGCTCAAGATAGACTACTCAAAACACGTGGATTTAAGAACAGATTGTGTTTGGTCATTCGACCGTGATCTTGAACAGGAAAAATCTTAGCAGAGGACAAATATGTTTTCGTTAAAAGATGAGACACTGTTAAGATACAATTGTATCAATATTAAACCAATAAATACACTGCAGATATTAATTGAGCAATATAATGGTGTCTATTCCGACACGATTCTCTAAACCTTAACTTAAATTTGACAACAGTGTATCCTTGTCATTCTCTATAAAGAACGAAAAGGGGAGGCAAATGTTAAATTTAGTTTTAAGTTTAGAGGATCATGCCAGAACCGACACCAGTCTTCCCTATATTTAGACAAGAGTGCACTCTAGAGAAAGCAAACCATCCTGTTTATCTCAAACGATCCTGTTCAGATTTGAAGACTACGTTGTCTTCGACTACACTAGATACTTAAAAGTCTGGTTTTCAATTCGACGGAGTTCTGACAGCTGTCATTTATTTCACTTCAGATATCATAAACCTTTTCTATCTTTGCCGTTTTTGTAAGTTTTTCTATATTGTTCTTGTCCTAAAAAAGAAAATTCTTAAGAGATTATAGGACTGTTTGATCATTGGCAATACTTCGGAAATGTCAGAATTCCGTCGAATTAAAAATCAGAGTATAGATTTAATGAGGAGCGAGCGTAGAAATCGAAATAGACGTTCCAGGTAAGTTGGGCCAAGGGTCAGAATGTGCAGTGTGTCAAAATGACAATGAAATAATGCCCAAATGTTAAAATGCCCAGTTGTCATAAAATTGCTAAAATGTCTACTGCCATAATGTCATGTTACCAAAACAACAAATTTTTAGAAAATCGGATTGTCAAATTTTATAGTTTTGGTACAGGGAAGCGCTATCGTTCCCAAGACCTGGTATATACCTTTTTCGGTGAATTGGGGTATGTTAGGCATATCCCAGAGGGAGAATAGAAATAATATTTTGAAAGTTTTCTATTTCATTCGATTGGGTACGCCCAAGGTACAATATTAACTAATAGAGGCTAATATAAATATATTTAATTATAAATAGCGGTACACTTCTTAATCAGAACTACAGTCAAATAAACTTCCGCAGCAGTCGCTTTTGTATGTAAAATTGCTACTGCGCAGTCTTCCTAGTCTATGGTCGTTGGTCCTGAAGTTTACCGGGATGTATACCTTTCATAATGTTTACTGACCAAACTGTTTTTAGTATTATAACTTCTATTTCTAAAAAAAACTCGAATCCAAAACATAATGTAGTAGTTTACAAATGTTGATATAATAAAATTGGTTACATACACTAAAAAGAAATATAGGTAAACATATTTGTTTCTTAGGTTTTCACGCACATCAATCATTAAATAAAACTAGTTTTAACGGATTAATGCACGAACTTTATTTATTTATTCACGTTTCGCAGCCTTTTCAGGTCTGCATCATCAGAATAATGCAGACCTGAAAAGGCTGCGTGCATTAACCCATTAAAACTAGTTTTATTTATTAAATATAGGTAAATTTTAAATTGCGTACTTCGTTGTTCGACAAACAAGTTTCTTATTTTTATCGTCTGTAAAGAGTGGGGTATCTATAAAACCGTTAATTAATAAGTACAAGGTGTCTATAAATGGCATTCCCATACTGGCATCGCGTGAGCTTGCCTGCCGACCGAGTGACTCACGAGACGCGCACGCCATGCCAGTGACGTCAAAGTGTTTATAAAACGTTCGCTTCGGTCAGATCAGACGGTTTACGGTACAACAGAACCTAAGGCTAGATCGAGAGTTGATTTACGGAATAACTATAAAATATTTGTTTGATTTAAACAGATGTTTTAGGTTATTAACTAGTGATTTAACACTATAAATAAACACTGTTTGTATCTAAGGCTATTCTATCAACTGCGTGTGCGTGCGTGTGTCTCAAACGCATGTTAGTTTGTGTAATGGTAATTTTATTAATTTAATGTACTTCTAATGCCTTATTATTATTATATAAACATAATAAGCTTTCTGCACATCTTCCTATAAACTTTTATTCTACAAAATCTCACTCTCCTCTGAGAGAAAATGTGCTTAAAAGGGGTCCCCTTTGAAATAATGACAAACCTAATAACACCGAAACATTTGATATAGATATGTTGTTGCTCTTCAATTAATGTTGAAGAAATTATAAAAAATATTTTCTCTAGATAAACGTTCAGTTGAAGAACTACCACAAAGGGTGGAAGGGTTGTTTATGATAATTAAGGTGTTATATTTACGTCCAATCATCATTTGATGAAATTTTCGCTTCATCTTAAAGATTCATTTAGATCGATTGTTTATGATAAAATTAAAAATTGTTAACAGTGAGTGAATTGATAACTGTGAGACTAAAAAAAAATAAGACCAAATAATATCGACAAGTTTCTTTTACTTGTGTGTCAACGAATTTAATGAAATTATAAATATTATCTTCTTAAAAAAGAAATGATTTCAAAAATTTCAGGTGTTAAAAATAATACAACTAGGTAAAATGTGTACAAACAAACGAGACTTTCGAAATGTGAGGGCAAGTGTTACACTAACAAAAGTAATAAAAATACCCACACTCATATTATGTTGAATCAGCGGATGTGTGTTGGGATAGGTAAATATATAAACAATAAGGGAACAACCTCGTCTCGGTTTGACCATGTCATTCTGGCTTGCTTCCAAACGAACAAGGAAAATATTTCTAATATGGCTAATACATTTAAAATAAATAACAATTTATGAAAATTAAATCTATTGTGGTGCAGTACTTACTACACTATTGTAACTTTTTTTAAAAAACAATGCAGCATAAATGTGACTTTGTCTGAAATGAAATTAATAAACAAAACTGTCTGAGCCTAAGGACCGATTTTTCAATACTAAAATGTTGAATAAATTATTACACGATCAAAGAAAAAATCGTAGCAGTTACAAATTTAGACAACTCCACATATTGTCTGTAAGTATTAATTGCAAAATTAGCCCTATATGTTGTTTTTAAAAGAAATTTAGAGAGAACAAGTTCAATGACATACCTAAGAATGTTCCAATAAATCTACAAAAGTTTGAAAGAAACCAGTGCTATTTGAAAACAAAGTTTACAGATCAAAAGACATACCTCGTTCGTGTTCCCGTGGTATTCCGGTGGCTTATCAACTACAACAGGAGATTCCATGACTTAAATCTATCACTGTAAGTACGTATCACAGATAAACACTAAACTTCACTTGGTTGCGTGTAACACGCGATAATACTGATGCGAACAATATCACTGTTTGATTTCTCGTTTTATACTGTGCCGGTCGACGGCGCCCAAACGCTTTTATAGAGCGACCAGTTGCAGTGGGCCCGCCGAGCGCGACTCATGAATGCTTGAGAACAGTCGAGAGAATTCTCGATACGCGCACGAGCGTAAACTCAGCAGTGCGTTCGTTTACCCGCTCTGACCTATTCGCCTTCGTAGCTGCATGAACCAAACTAGCAATGTATAGAATTGAATAGAGTGATCGATAGAAAAGCTCGGTAAAAGCAGCAAGAGTACGCCTGCGCTTTGCTACTGGAAGGTTCGTAAAACGATGGAGGTTTTGAACCCCTGAACAATGTGTATGGTTAGAATGTTCTTGAAACATGACGCGGGGTGGAGAAGAATTATAACAGTTACTTATTGTTTTATTTCACCATTCAAATAGTACTTTTTACACGATTTCAATGTGAATTTGGCATGTTTTCAGCGTTCATGTATGTTTTTTGTACACTATGAGTTTTAAAAAATATGTAAACTAGTCCTATAGACTTTTGTATTTTATTTAGTAAAATCACTTGACGGATTTGACATGTTTTATAAAAAAATTAAAATAATTATTGCTAAATCCAACTAAGGTCTTGCTTATTGGACTTTGTTTTTTAGTTATAATGATTGAAAAAAAAAACCGGTTTTGCCTGAAAAGGCAAAACTGATATAATGAAAATTATCCAATTAGTTTCTTAGTTTTTCATCAAAAGCATCTTTCTTTATTCAATTGATAATTCTCAAACTGTAATTATCATTTCGAACCTTGAACGTAACTTTCCATAATGATGTAAAGTACTTTTTAATATAAACAAAAAAACTTGGCCCAAGGATATAGGTACATATACGGCTTTAAATCAACAAATTTAAAGAAAAACACGTAGCAGTTAAAGATCTAAAGAAAATATCTATGTACTACGAATTTATGATGTAAAAACATTTAATTAATTGAGATATTTCTTTTTTTTTTCAAACAGATGTCGACTGTCGGGCTCTCGATTGTGCTAATACAAAAAAAACTACACATGCTATTTATCTTATCGCAGACGAGTTTAACGATAGTAAAGCGATTCCAAAACAGTATTCAGGCAGACGGTCGCAGGCATAAAACCGGTCCCAACAATTCCTAATTCACTAAATCACACCATTCCTGAATATTTCGGCTAATGTTTCTAAATTGTTTAGCGACATTCACATTTATTACGCGATGACACAAATAAAAAAATGCGACAGTCTATCTATAAAAGACATGTATTATGTTTGTAAATTACTCCATTAGTTTGGCTAATGCCACAATTACCAATACCAGCGATTACCATATTGTCATTCTTAAGAGCAGACGCGAGCCGAGTGACATTTGAGAAATAGGTATTTGATAAAACTATTGCTGTCACGTATTGGCAAATACCGTGCGATAGAGACAACAGTAGTTAACGCTGAAAATTGCGTACAAAAATTGCAAAATTCGAGTTTTGGCTCTCGACGATTTCCTCCTCGAAAATTAGTTATATGTAAAAGAAATTTTACACAAAGAATAATAAGTAGTTATACAATGCTTCTATGTTTTGATTTTTTGTAAATGTTAATCAAATCTCCACGCTACACGTCTTTAGTGGTGATTAAAATTTGTTTATTTTTGGCCCTTTTCGAGGGCTTCTAGTTTCTTTGAAACACAAGTTATCGAAAAAAGGAAGACATAGGAACATAGGGGTCGTTTAAGTATTACGTAAGGAGATTTATTACAATTATTTACCCCCTCCTCACCCTTGTCAGCAAAAGTAAACAAAGCTCTTACTCTCCCCCTCCCGTGCTTACGTAAACATAAGTGCATTTTTCGTTTAATGTATTCTGTTTTTTTTATTCATTCATGAGCTTTCATGAGCTTCATGAGCAGCAGTACTTAAATAGGCTTAGGATAGAGGACTTTAACGCACATAATATTCTTTGAAACAAACTTTATTGACACAGTATTCAACATTGAGTAAGGTCCTATTACGAACAAAACCAACTTCTTTCGAATTTTTGGTATATGTATACAATCTTCTCTCCATGACACCCGAATCCATGATGCTGACGTAATCACTATCTCAACCCCCCACCCCCCTATGTCATCAAAAATAAGCAACGCAAACCCCCCCCCCCCCCCCCCTCCCCATAGTGCTTACGTAATACTTGAACGGCCCCATAGCATGAGTAAAATTATATTTTATGTGTGAAAATCAATTCTTTAGTAATACAAATCAAGGAAGAATCAGTCGAGAACTAAACGTTCATGGAAAAACATTGCTAACAAACAACTAACTATAATATATTTAACTATAATCATATTTGTCTACCTGCCCCATCCCCTGACAGTTGTGAAATCTTCAATTAGGTACAAGTACTCCATTGGCCAGTCTGTTGTATTTCTTAGGCTTGTTGAAAATATATCGATATATCGATATTTTTTGTACGATATATCGATATTTTTTGCCGATATATTTTGATTCGATATATCGATACAAAATAACCAATATCGAAATTCGTATCAAAAACGATATTTTTTTAATTATTAGCGGCATATCACGATCTAACTAAATTCGTATCTGGAAAAACCGTAACTGGATCTCAGATTAATGATATTCAACATATCTATGATCTGTGCTGTATTTAGTATTGTCTATGTCATCATTCAAAAATAGGGTCTATTTTTAGGGAGATAATTTTCGTTCCATTATTATTCCGCGTGGCATATGTCGTGAGGTACTGTACGATATTTTTGGGAAAATTGGTCCGATATATCGATATCGATGTTTTTTTCGCGATATATCGAAGCCGATATTGATATTTTTTAAAAGATCGATGTATCGATATATCGATATTTTTTTCAACTTTCGACATCCCTAGTATTTCTACGGTAGCTTATTAAAGATAATATTTACTGTTGATTTTTTAATTCATACTTCTTGGTATCCGAACCATATCTTGGTGTGCTCAAAATATGTAATTATTTTTCAGTGCAACTGTGTTATAAAAACTTATTTAAATTGTTTAATTCTAAAAATTCCACGCGGATCTGGCCATAGTGCTACCGCGGAGGTCCGCGGTAGCACTATTTAACTGGTAGATGTTTAATTCTACAGAAAATTTTGTTAGAAAGAATTCCACGCGAACACAGTAGACGGGACTCGAACCCGCACCCTCGCTGTCCGGGCGGATGCAGTGACCATAATAACCTTATTATGTCGTGAATTAAACATCTACCAGTTAAATGCTTTAAATATAAAAAATATAGTTTAGGTTTTATTAAAAATCATACAATAGGATTATGGTATGAATCTTACAAAAACATTTCACAAATCTTACCACGGGAACTATAAATTTTCATATCATTTAATTTGTATTGAATAATTGATATCCAATGATAACTTTAAAATTTAATTTCACATTCCTTAGTTTTTTTTTTATGCGAAATACTAATTAATAATAGCCCACAGACCTAGATTGTAGTAGATGCCGCATGTAATTCAAATTGTATGGAAACCGAGCGATCACATTTTGAGTACTCAACGAGAACAAATAAGTCGTGTTTAAATATAACTAGAAAAAATTCCACGCAGACCAGGCAGCAAACGGGACTCGAACCCGCACCCTTCGCAATCCGGGGGAATGCACTGACCAATTATGCTACCGCGGCCCTCACGGACCGCGTCGAAATTCTTCTAGCCATTCTTAAGCTGCAAGGCAGCGCCATCTCTTCGCATTATAGGTAACCCACAATGTCAAATGAATACTTTTACAAGTATTAAACATTTGAAAGAAGAAATAGCAATTATAGTTATAATTTTTATTATTTTAAAGCATGTATGTAACTGCTTGATGTTTAAATCTAAAGAAAATATAACTAGAAAAAATTCCACGCGGACCAGGCAGCAGTGCATTCGACATCTGTCTCTCTCCTATTGAGTGAGAGATGCGTCCGCATGGACAGCTGCTACACAATAATACATTTACATGTTTTCGTCAAGTATGAAGTGCAGTGAAAAGTGAATGTGGTGTCAATTGTTTATAGCAACGATAATTGCGGCGATAAAGGTAAGATATCACACATGTTTAAAAGTTGTAAATAAAAGTTTGTAAAACAATTGCTCAAAGCACATTCATACTTGTAAAAACTATGTACATGGTAAAAAAACGTCGTCACGTTCAACTATCGTCAGTAAACCGAATTTACAGACAACCGATTTTTTTCTCTTTTTCTTGAATTGGAATGAATAGCTGCTATCAATGTTTAATGTTTTTATGTATGACTTGCGGCGTTTTGGACTTTTCTGTAGGCCCGCATGTGTAACCGGAAAAAATGCATAAAAAATATAAAGCCACTTTTGCGTTAAAAATTATAGAAAGTATAGGTTAAACAACTTTTAAAAAGGTATATATTATATACAAACATGGAAATTCCTGCCCCCGAATGGTTCTCTTATGTTTTCGTTTTCACCTGAACACCGAACACAAGAGTGCGTGGGCGAACACATATAAGTATATGAATGAGAAAACAATTATTAATGATCTTAAAAGATATGATTTATATATACAAGGATATTCCTTTAACAAAAACAATGTTGCAGTCAACTACTATAAAAGCTCTAATTAATGTCTTGTCCATATTATTATACAAAGCAGCGTCTTCGTTTATTTAAATCTTCTCACGAATTTAATTTTCGTTGGGCTATATTAATATTTGAGGAGCTCGATGGCGCAAGTGGTTAGCGCGTTCGGCTGCGATCGTTGAAGTTAAGCAATTAAGTCATTGGATGGGTGACCAAAAATTTACTATCTCGAGCCCCTACGTGCTTATTAAAAATTGTATAAAAGGACCAATCAGTTGATAAGAACATTCAATTAGTTTTTGAGTTTAAGAATTATAAAAAAAAATTAAGATATCGTCATAACAGTTTAAAGTTAGGACAAAATTAAACAGCTGGTATATAGTAGGCACTTATATTCATTGCGGTTCAAAAACCAAATCATGATAAATATACGATGTGATTATTCCCTTAGGTACGGCTCCATTCAAAATTAAAGTTCCTAGTAAAAAACTGAACTTGAATTAGTTAGTTTTTTTATCGATATAATAATAATAATTAAAACATTTATTTGGCACAAATTACAAAAAAATACTTATTTTATTATATAGAGATTTTAACAGGCCACTGCTCAGTATTTATGTCGTGACAACATGTCACATGATACTGATTTTCAGCAGCAGCCTACTTAGCCTTAGACCAAGCGCTAATAAAACTCATAATTTACTTTCAACCCCTTTCACGGTTTCACTTTATCGATGGGCAAACTTTTTTGATTAAATATGGAGTAAATCTAATATATATAAAACTCAAAGGTGACTGACTGACATAGTGATCTATCAACGCACAGCCCAAACCACTGGACGGATCGGGCTGAAATTTGGCATACAGGTAGATGTTA